ACCCTCTGCAGCCCAGCCAGGGAGCGGGACATGCGGACCAGCAGCTTGTTGAAGCGCTCCAGCTCCTGCAGCAGCACCACCGACGTCGGGGTGATGCTCGCGCCCAGGTGCCTCCGGACCAGGTCCAAGTCGAAGACCTTGGGCATCTTGTTCTCTATGTCCTTGGCCACGTTGCCAATGTAATCCTCTCGGCTGATGCCGCTGCTCGATTCCCCTAAGGGCAGGACGCTTGTGAGGGAGAGCAAGGCGCCAGGCGAGGGGCGAGGGGCTGGGCAAGGCGGCAGCACGGCGGAAACTCGAGGGACCAGAGGCAGAGCCCTGCCTCACCCCGGGCCCTGGACGCACCCCTCCGGGCGGACTACCTGTCTGAGGCTGCAGCTCCAGCAGGTGAGACCACAGGTCCCGGGCGGCCTGCGTGTAATACCCGATCTCGGCGTTGGGGTGGAGACCGAACACCTCGGGCGTGTTGGCCAGCGGCAGGGCCTCGATGGCTTCTACAGCACAGACAGCGAGGTCGCCGCGTGCACCCTCCCTTTCGGACACGCAGACTCACGCCCGCTGCTCCGCGCACGGTTCCAAGCACAATTCTACCCCGTCCGCCCCGTCCAGCCCCACCTCCGTTTGTTATGAAACGGCTGTGACCTTCGCGGGGCCACCCCGTCCCTCCAGGCAGAATCCGCCACATCTGCCGTCACTCAGGCCAGGAAATCAGAACCAACGCCGTCAGCTCCGAGGCCCACACCCACCCACCAAGGAGGTCCCCCCCACCCCCGGGTGAGGGGACAGAAGAGCCCTCACGCCAAGAGAGGCAACACCGCTGAGATGTGGGCTCCCTGAGAAAAGACCTGGAGAGACTGCGTCTGGGAAACCCACCCACGAAGCGCTCCTTGGGGTCGCCCGCGCCCGCGGGGATCTTGTAGTCCACCTCCTTGTTGTGGAAGAAGTGGAAGGGCTGGAAGGTGTCGAAGATGAAGTCCCCCAGGTACTCGTCCATGTAGATGGTCAGGATGCGGCGGTCAAAGCTGTCGATGGCCCGGCCTCCGTACATGACCTGGGGTCCCGGGAGTGAGAACCGGCCGCTTTTGTATTAAAGAAACA